CTATGATTCTATGATTCTAAGGCAAACCTATCAGGTTAGTTTTTTTTAAATAGTCTTTAAAATTTTCTTTAAAAGCATTGTATCTTACCACTTTAAACACATTAAACTATTAAAATGTATAAATGTAAAATTTCAAAAACAAACAATTTTAAAAGTTAAAACTGTTATGTGTTAAAATGTGAAATGTGTTATAAACTCTGTATAAACCTTAACATCTGAAAGACACATTATTATCATAAAGTGTTTTAAACTTTTATTTTGTAATGCCCTGCATTTTCTTGAATGTCCTACATTGTGTGGTGCCTTGTTCTCCTTTGCAGTTATGGCATCTAGTCACCCTGAGCCAATGAGGAAAAACGCACAAGCAAGTAGAGGCTACAGCAGTTTCCTTTTGCCTGAGTCTACAGGGAAAGGCAAGATTCTTTCTTCTCATCTCTCTCCTCCAGAGTCAATTGAATGCAAACAGTACTTTTCTGCACTTTGAATTCAGTTTGCAGGAATGAAAATTGTGGTATGTGTGTGTGTCTGTGCCTTCAAGTCACCTGTCACCTTATTGCACCACTATGAATTTCATATAGTTTTCTTAGGAAAGGAATACTTAGAGGTGACTTTTGTCAGTTCTTTTCTCGAAAATAGAGCCTACAACATTGGTATTCGTTGGCAGTCTCCCACGTACTAACTAGAGCTGACCCTCCTTAGCTTCTAAGATCAGATGGATTCTGGTGCCTTTAGGGTATTTATGGTAAAGGTGGAAAGTGGGAGGAAGAGAGAGAAACTGGGTTCTTTTAAGAGCAGCTGAAAAAGTGGGATGATAGAGGATTAATGAGGACCGTCCCCGCCAAATCAGCACGGTTGGAGGAAATGCCAATATTTGTGTGCACAAGAGAGAGGGGTGGTGGTGGTGGTGGTGATGGTGGATTGTGCTGTCCTGTTTTTTGATATGGATTTGGATTCAGCGTATGTTTCCTCTACTTCCACCCCATCCCATGCCACCCATGTCCTTCCTACTTTTCCAAACTTTGCTGCCATAATTTTCCTAGTGAACAGTTCTAGTAGAGAGTATTCTATCAATATGTTGGGTGAATTCCATTAATATATTTTGTCATGCCAGTGACCTGTGTCTAAATTTATTAGCATAATAGAGCTGTTGCCAGAGGCCCTCATCAGAAGAACGCAAGAAAAGTTAATTTCTCTGCTAAAGAGCCCCATCCCAAATGCTTGTTTTAAACTTAGACTAGATCAAGCGCAGTGCTTACAACAAGGAATCAACAGTTGTATCAAACAACTTCAAGTTTATTCCAAGCAATTTAATGCATTAACCTTTGACGGTTTTTTGAACATTGATTTAATTTTTTTTAAAAAAGTCCATCTGGCTTTTTAGATAACAATGCCATGGAAAATGTTCTTTTTTCTGGACAATGACAGATTCAAGTAAGCAGCAGGCACATAAATATAACAAGCAGTATTTTAAAGGCAATTTTAAATTCACTGGTTCATATAATTATCTTCCTCTCTGTATGTCTTTCTCATGTATCTCTTTTATTTCAAAAGGTCAGTCAACATGACTGTTATTTCAAGAAAATGACTCTGTGAAATAGTAACAGCACATGCTTCTTGAGTATGAACGGGTCGCCCTCTGAAAGAGAATTTACTAATTTTCTAAACGCAGAGGTTGCTATCCATTTTTATGTCAAAGGCAAAATTACTCTGCGGGGCTCTGTTAGTTTTTCGTTTTAGTTACTGATAAGCTTACTGTTATGTGCTTACATCCCAGGCATCCAAAGAGTGAAAACTCCAGCGATTCAATGCTCACCCAGACTTTTGCCTTTGTTTAACTGAGGTTACTATGGATATGGTATGATGTAACAGATGGTACGGTGTATGGTATGGTGTGGTGTGGTATGATGTAATAGATGCACTGAGTTAACAGAGCATTAGTGGAGATTTGCAGCATTAATGCCTCAAAGGACACTGCTCCCCATCAGATTTTTAGGGGGACCCATGAGCCCTTAAGATGCTTTTAGAGCAGAAGCATATCCCTGTGATCAAACCTCAGTAGGTATTTGAGTAGGTATTTGAGCCTTACAAAGGGATACCTCATACTCTAGTTTAAGCACACAAGAAAAGCCATGCTGGATTAGATCAAGGGCCTACTTAGTTCAGCATTCTTTTTGTGTAGTAGCCGACAAGATACTAATGGCAATCCCACAGCCACTCACACAACATTTTGTTTTTATGTGCCTTCACACCATTTCCAATTTAAGGTGAGCCTATTATGGGGTTTTCTTGGCAAGGTTTGTTCAGAGAGGGTTTGCCTTTGCCTTCCTCTCAGGCTGAGAGAGTGTGATTTGCCCAAAGTTACTTGGTGGGTTTCCATGACTGAGCAAGGATTTGAACCCTGGTCTCCCGAGTCTTAGTTCAACACTCAAACCACTATATCACACTGGCAAATGCAACAGCATCTTCTAATTCACGTTCTCTAGCAAGCAATATATAGATAGGCATGACTTCCTCTGATTTTGGAAATAATACTGGACTGTGACTCTAGAGACCAGGTTTCAATTCCCATCTTGGCCACAAAACCCACTGACCTTTGGCAAGTAACATGTTCTCAGCCTCAGAGGAAGACAATGGCAAACCTCCTCTGCACAAATTTTGCCAATATAACCCCATGATAGGGTCACCTTAGAGTCGCAATAAGTTGGAAAATGACTTGAAGGCACACAACAACAACAGTCAAGACTAGTAAGGATTGATAGTCTTATCCTCCAGTTTGGCTGGCATTGCTACAGTTTGTGTAATTATAAATTTTGAAATGCAGAAGCCATTCTAAGCAGACCTCGCAGTGAAGCACCCCCATATGCATTATTTTATTTACTCTGGACATGTCTACACTGCATAGTTACAGCTGTTTTACTGCTATATATCTATCGGATAGAGTCCTTGGATTTGTACTTTGGTGAGGTACTTAGAATTCTCCAGTCTAGTCTCCTGAGAAAGCTCTAGTCTACTCTTCTGAACTACAACACTGAAATTTCCCAGGAGATAATTCTAAGCATCTCACCATCGAACAACAAATTATAGAAAAGCATAGATTGGAGCCATAGCAATTTAAGCACTGTCAAACTGCTATAATTATACAGTACAGACACATACAGTACTTTTATTTACTTTTATCCCATCTTTCTCCCATATGGGAACCCAAGGGAGCTTACAAAGTAGAATACAGCTAAATATAGAATACAGCTCAAAACCATTCTTAATATTAAAGAATAGTAAATGGGGTTACTGCATGGATTCATCTCTCTCTCTCTCTCTGCATGTGTATGCAGACACAAGCATTTGTTTGTGCATTTCTGTACACTGTCTCCAAAACCAAATGTTGTGTAGATTGCAACTAAGCTCAAGGGACAGACAGAAAAGTATTATGGGTGGGTGGGGGAAGTGCAAATTATATAATAATCTTGGTTAATCAAAGGTCCTGACAGTTCAAGCCCTGGTGGCGCAGTAGTTAAATGCCTGTACTGCAGCCACTCAC